ATGTATCCAAACTGTGCGATAAATATGGGAACTGTTACTGCAGAGAGACAATTTCCCACAGCTAGTTTACTTTTTAATGGTGCAGAGCTTGGAGTTTTAAGTACCAGTCTTCATTTAATATAGCTGTAATAGTCCATCAAGTACTTCCTTCTCGTTTTACTAAAAATGATAGGGAACTATCAAGTTGCTCAGGAATAGAGAACTCCTGACAATGTGGCTTTTATAGGTGTTCCTTGAAAAGAGTGGGCCAAGTTGGGAAAAGCAGCACATGAAAACACTAAGACAGAAGGGCATCTCAAAATATGTCATTTATCACTCTTCATTAATTTGATTGATGCTGGCTAAAACAAGCTCATAGCTGTGAGCAAGAAAACAATCTCTTCTAGACCTATGTCTGCTATGTTTAAGAAGGTAGGCTATTGTAATTTTCTGAGGTGTGGGAAGGGGGAAGTCCAAATGCTGTTGCATTCAATATCTAAGACCAATTTCTCTTTTGAATTGAAATTATCTAAAAGACTAAATTTTGTCTAGCGGCATAGATTCGAAAGAGGTAAGAACTAAATTGGAAATAGTTGCTTCTCACTGAATGGTGTTTATATCAGGATTAAGCATCAGATACTCAGAAGAATAAAAAAACCTATCAAAGGTAGGGCAGAAGATATAAAATGTGAGTCTAAAGAAAAAAAATAATTGTTTCTTTATTCTTTTTCCAAAACATCTGTATTTAGGAAAATGGAAGTTGTCAGAAATTTTGTTAGTGGTATGGCAAAGAAGTGTATCTGACTTGCTGATGTTATCTGGTGTTTCAGTCTCTGCCATAGCCAAGCATCAGCTAGACATCTTAGCTGATAAGTCACAGAAAATTGTGTAAAAGAAAAAAAGTCTGCATTGTTCCTTACTATGAAAGCCTTCATTTTCCCGTGCTGTACTGCTTAGCTGGACTACTTCTTGCATTGTTGTGCAAAGAGGAATTGTGGGCACACTAGAACAGAACTGGAATTTTAATTTTTAATTTTCTTTTCCTGTGACTACGGAGAATTACTGTCACCAGGTGGGCCTGTGCAAATAACACATTTTTCCACCTGGTTGCCAAACAGGAAATAAAGCAAAAAAAAAGCCCAAATACTAGGTTACTGCAGATTGCTTTGAATTGTTTTTAGAATTACTTTATTTTGTTGAAATAACCCTTTTATTTATTTAATACAAAATATTCCATACAAATCTAAGAATTTCATTTTGCTCTCTTCTTGTTGTATGCATGGGTTTACATCATCATAATCCCAGATGCCATACAGAGCTATAAGAATATAGAGTATTACATGGCCGGCAAATAGCAGAGAAAGTTCTAAAGCTTGTCCCTGGAAAAAATTTCCAAAGAGGCACCAGTACCCACCTTTGTCTCTTATTTTTCTTGCTTATTAATGCCCCCTGAATTTCTGAAATGAATTCTAAAATATTTACTACATTAGCATATCAAGTTTGATTGCTTATATAAATTATTTAAATTATTATTTATTGTTATTTAAATTTTTATATAATTAATTATTATTTTAAATTATGTCAGTTCTACATTAACAGTAACAGATTATTATTTTATTGCAACTGAACCTGTTGGCTTATTAAAAAGATCTCATTTTAAAACAGTTCTAGGTCTATACATCGATGTCAAATGTGTTGTTATGTTTCTTCCCCATTTCTCAGTTAAATAAAACTTTCTCCTAACAACAAAATGATAGTATAATTCAGTCACTTTTACCCCTTCTAATTAAGTGGACCTCTCAAGTCTAATTTCCTGCAAATTTAAAAATCCCATTTGTGTGAATACAGTGAGAGAAGGTCAACAACAGGAAGTGAGAACATTTTATTATTATTATAACATGGACAACTCTGTGTTTCCCTCTAACGTAGTTTAACTCTGCAGCAGCGATGAGCTTTCAGCTGGGCATCCCATGTGTAAGGAATGATTTAGGGGCTGTACCTTTCAGTCAGAAGGATGAATTTCATAAATTTTAAATGGAACCCTGCAAAATTTATTCAACAAAACTATTTGTTGAATTGCTACATAACTCTGAAGTAGCTACAGCTTAATTTCTTAGCAAGCTTATTTTCTTCCCTTGAACCCCAATAAAACACGTGCAAGTCATAGGTCCAGGCACAAAGAACTTTTAAAACAACCCTCTGGGTGATACCAGAACAAACTAGTCCTCTGCACCAGAACTAACTAACTTGCTTGCTCCAGAAACATCATATTACTTGTACTTAGTGATAAAAACTGCAGGACTTGAAACATTTAGTTGCAACTTTCAACTACAGAATGCTCTAAAGACTCAACTTTCTTCTCTTTTCCTGTAATATGATGCAGTTTAAAAAGGCCTAAGTCTGTCAGAAGGTACCAGGGAGATAGTGGCTAATGGTAAATAGGGCCTATGGAGGATATTGCAGGGGAGTTAAACTTTTAGTCTAAAAAAGCTCTCAGTTTCTTCAAATCCAGGTTCTCAACTCCATCAAACTTTCTAAAGCCATTTTTATCATAAAGTAAAAAAGCAATCAAGAGCATTGTTTGTATCAGTAGTGGTAGTTCTTTCAATAGAAGATCTTGTACTAGTAATGTGATGGACAAAGTCATATGCAAAGTGTCTTTTAGCAACTAATGGTTGCAGTTTCTTAAAATCCTTGTCCTGTATTTTAAAATAATGCTGTTACTGCAGGAAAATACAAATTGAGAGCTCCACTTGGCAATCAAGCTGGTAAACCAAGCGGTTTTAGTTCTGTAAGGAAAGAGCTCCAACCTCAAATGTGAATTAAAATCAATGTAACCTTAACCTGCAGAAATAGAAAACTGTAAAGAACAAGCATTAGAGTAACTTTGAAAGTAGGACAGTAACTAATGTAGAATTCAGCATGATATGATGTTTCTTAAAGGTAAAATTGTGGTCGTGCTGAGCTGTATGATTGATAGTGGAAAGTATCTTTGGACTACTCAAAGATCAATTTTAACTGGAAGTGGGGAAAGTAACTTTTGGTAACCAAAAATTTATGCCTGAAACAAACTCAAAATAGTGATCAAAATCACAGGATTCAAAGGTTTGAGGTGACCTTAAAAAGTCTTGTAACACATCCTATTAGACAGGATCAGCTATACATAACCCATTACTGATATGTCTAAACTGTTCTTGGACCTTCAGTGACTGAAAATTCAGTTTTCCATTGCTAGCTATGTTCCAAATATTATTATTCTGAACTTAAAAAAGCTCTTTTCTTTTTTGTACTTGCAGAATAAATGTACTTGTTCTTGATGTCTTTTTTCCCAGATATGGAGATTGTCTTTCCCTTCCTTTGCAGTTACTTTGTTAATAATGAAAGGCTGTTGTAAACTTGCTTTGTGTTTCACTCTACAAACTTGAAGAATTTCAATTTAGCTTTTGTTTGTTTGTTTGTTTTTTAATAAAAAATGTTTTCCAGACATTGCTATTGCAGTCCTGCCAATTGGTTTATGTTTTTATTGTAGTATGGTACTTAAACTGAACACATTACCTTGGAAGAGTTTTTTTTATTTATTAATAAAGCCAACATTTTGCTTCCTGTGTCTTATAAGAATTTATCTTTTTTAGTTTTTGTTTTTATCTTTTAAGAGCATTCTCTTCGTTATATTTAGATATACTGCTTGAGAAAATCAGTTGTTACTCTGGAATTTTCTGGATGTAGCCTCTTCTGTAGTTTGCTACAGCTCTCATCTGGTTTGTGTATGTAGCTTTTATGCCACATTTGAACCTGGTAACATACAGCAACCAGGAATGCTGAGAGAGTCCCTCAGCTGCAGTGATGTAGGTTCTGCAACAAATTCGTTGTTCTTATCTTACAGGACTCTCAATCAGGTAGTTCAATTTTCAGAAGAGTGCACTGCCCAGAGAGCCTTCTGATTTTACTGTTTCAGCACTCTAAAAATCAAGGTACATGGTGAGGATCCAGTACAAGGATCATTAACCACAGGTCTCTTTAGTGGTCCTTTTAGAAGCTGCAGCATAAACTCCTATTGAAAGCTCCTGTAAAATTTCAAAGCATGACAAAAACTCGCTAGAGAAAAACTAAAAACTGATTTCATTTTTCTCTTTTCCAGTTAGCCAATTTGATTCTGATGAAATTGTGGTATTCGCAGCTGATTTCATGATTTATAAAATGAGAAGCTGCCTCAAAATTAATGAATTTGTGACCACTCCATCTATCACTTACCTACTTCCCTCCTGAACCAGTCTTGACTACAGACCAGCTGACAGAGGGAAGCTCTTTTTGTGATAGTATGAGCAAATATGCATAGAAATAAGAAAGGTCCATCAGAGATGTAATTTTCATGTTTTGGACAGGGGAGGCTTTAAGCATTTTCTTACATAAAGAACTCAGATTCTAGAATAAGCTGTACAACAATACTGGTCTTGATTTTTTTTTTTTTTTTTTAATAATGGAAAATTTTGTTCCGTAAGAAAGAGATTATATCCTTCAAATATTTCTAGAGTCCTTGAAAGAAAAACCTTGCTGGGATGCCGGTAAGAAGGGAACTTTATAAACCTGTGCAAATCACTGTCCTTGCTCAAATCTCTTGTAAAAAGTTGAAGATGCACTGATATCTACCAAAAAAAGAAAAGATCAACAACAGGACAAACTCCCAGTTTGCTGTGATTCTTGCCTGTCATGATGCCACTACTCTGTCTCACTGTTGTTTCCCTAATCTGTCCATCCTTATCTGCTGTATCTCATCTAATGTGCAGATGTTAGGCTCTGTGGGACAGGAATTAAGTTTTTATACTATGATTGTGCTTGGGATGTCCCATGAAATATATCAAAAGGTGCTACAGCAATACGATGATAGCAATCCTCCTGTTGCTTGTTTTCTGTAGTTCTGCCATGCAGCCAATGTACTCCCAAATTGTTCTCAATCAGAAATGATTTCAGCACGAGAAATTCCTTCAGTTACATTGCTGAAAATGAAATTGTTGAAAAGGAAAATATGATCTTTCACAGTAATCTTCTTTACACTACTGAAATCTGTTGTAATTGAACAAGGCTGCTTATGACCAAGACCCTGAGCATCTCAGTTTCTCTCTGAGTTTGGACCTGTTTTGGCTGAGGGAAGGACCAGGAAACCTCGGGAGGATTCTTCCACTCCAAATTATGTAAGTCTACGCTACGATTGCCTTTTTTACTTTTAAAATATTTCTTCATTTTTATTCAGAGAAATTTTACTCAGTGGGTTGATATGTTTTCCTTTTCTAGGCAAAGATGTGCTGGTGCTTGGAATGGTTGCTTCACTATTTAGTCTCTTTTCTGCTCCAAAGAGCGACACAGTGGTCTAATCTTATGGTTTCAAAGACCTGAGGGTCCCTAATGCCAGATCCTCAGATCCTTTCATGACTGACTCAGCCCTTCACTTTTTGGGAAAAGTATCCTGCAGTTTTCTGTGTATGTATTTTTCAGCTGTCACCTTAAAAACCCAATGCCTTAACCATTTGGACACTACACCACTTTTTCACTACATCCTACTACTGCATGGCTTTCTGTATGCATTTTGTAGTTGTCAGCACTGGTCCAACAGTATATACTTCTCAAAACATATAGACCCCCCCACACCCCCTTACATAGATAAGTTTGGTAGCATGCTTGAGTAAGTGGGATAAATAAAAAAAATGATAGCATATTACTGGAAGTTTTTGAAGAAAGGTAAGAAGCAACAGTGACTGGCCTTAAAAGGATCATTTTTCTTATCAATCATTTATTAGGCAAAATATCAGAAAGGATTAAAATAAAGAACTTTGAGAACCAATCAAAATCCAAACTTATTCTGCATGTCAGCAGAACAGCTAATGAAGGGCTTTTTGAGGACTTTTGCTCGGGATCCTTGGGGTCCCTGGGATCCCTGGGATTAAAAAGAAGAGTGAAAAACGAAATTCTGCTTGCTCCAGTAGTGATCTTCAGACATTCCTAAAATGCCTTGGCTCAAGCTGCTTTGCAGCCATTGCACAAATTTGACTTGGAAACATTATTAATGACTTGACCTTCATTTCAAGTTTACTTTGTGCTCGCAAAAGCAGTGGGTACTGACAAGGAATATTGTTTTATTCTTAGTGGCAATTAGGTTGCTCAGTAGCCCTAGTGCAGTTTACAAGGGGGAAGTCCTGTCTAACCATCAGTAAACTGCACTCAGAACACTTATGGCATTTATGGACTGTAATCCTTGCACCCTCCATGATCCTCTGTTTGTTCTCGGCAAAAGCTTTACATGCTCCAAACTACTACTGGGTCAAAAATCTCAAGTTTGCAGCAGCAAAGAGCAAATCTAACACCCTCATTGTGAAAACTAAGCTAAAAATGTCCACAGAATAAGACTGTCTATACTGTAGGATATAAAACAGTCACGTAGTTGCCTCACAGCAGCATTATCATCCTTTAGGAGGATGTGCATATTCTACCAAATCCCTTAGGACTACTTGCTGTGAAAGAAGAAAATATGAAAACTGAAAGAAACAAGCATAAATAGACTGGTGTTTTAAAATGGTCTGACTGTTTCTGGCAAGAAGATTTTACCCTGTATTCTCTGCACACTAGCAGAAAAAGCACAGGAAGAGGCAGAGCATCTCAGCTGTGTTACTGTGAAAGATTCTATGGCTGCATTCTTTATCCCTTTGTAGGATTTAATTAAAAAAAAAAACAACAAACCCTTCCTAATGTCTGTGACATACAGATGATCAGGTTGCTCTGGTAGCAGCAGCATGAATGTAACTTGTTGCCGTGAGGAGCACTTATGTATGTTGGGCTCTTGTCCTAGCTGAGCCCCCTCTCTCAAGCTTGTTTTGTCAGCGTGTAGCATTTGTACATGAAGATGTTTTGCAGTTTCTGTTTCTGTGAGGTGCAGAATATACTGGTAAAATATTTAATTGTTCTCTTTGTTTTATAATTTTTTATCATTTTATAGACACATATCTATATAGCCATATCATAACTGGATATAACTATACCTTTGTATGTATGTACATTTATATATACATATGCATACATATACACTAAAGACATACATATATGTATATATATTTAAAGACTTTAGAGATTAACACATTTTTGTCTTTTTTTTGTTCTGCTGTAGAGATCTAGCTTTGCTCTGCTTTGAAAATAACTGTATACTGCCATGTTGCAAAGCTTAGAGTAGATGGCCTCCGAAAGACATGGAAAGTATGGAGAGAGAAACAGAATTATAATCTGTTTTGTAAGAATGTTTTTAAGTTTTCTATGCCAATACCTGTCTTACAAACAAAAGCTTTTAATGATTTCTCCTTGCTTTATAAAAGCTTGGTCCTTGGTTAAAATTTACAGTTCCTCTACTATATCTAATATATGCTTCAGTGATTTGCTGGATCTGGAGCACTGTGCGATGGTACTCAGGAGAATTTTCTTTGATCTCTAATCTTCTGCCCTAGAGCTTCCCACTCAGCCTTTCTGGAGGATGGTTTCAAATGACTTCTATATTGAAGGTGTTTGTGATTGTTCTTTAATCTTGAGTGTCTCTACCCTGTCTTCAAATTAACCCTTTTAATTTGATCTCCCTTTTATAGAGGATTAGGATTTACTTTTCCATTCTGTCTGAGTGAAAGAAGACGTAAGTACCAGAGTTTATATAACTAAAAATAATATCATATGGTCATTGGGGGGAGTCTAATGCAGATAGTACAGTATATAACTGCAGATGAGCTGTGTAACTGTTTTGTTAGTGTAGAAGGAAAGGCTTAGTTCAGTTAGATTTAATTTCATTTTCTTTATTTAGCACATATTTTTCAAGGAAAGGTCATGAATCCGAGAACAAATATGATACATAAGGAAAAATGCCTGTTTCACATCTTAACTACTTTCAAATTATCTAACTTCTACTGTATAAGATACTGTGTATCTGTCCATGTTATGATGGCTCCTAGTAAGTCCCTGTCACACAGTGAATGAGTTCATTTACAGAATAGTCCTGCCCTGGGTATGGCCTCCACATGAGCATGATGCAGTTGACGATGTAGTTGATAATACTGTCCAAGAAACTAGGCTGTCCAGATCCTTAGAGATGGAAAAGTGGTGGTTCCTGGATCACGCCTGTTTTGTTTTCTGTTTGCTTGCTCCCCTACAGTGGTCTGCCAGTGCTTTTGATTCTTCTGAGCCTGGCTCCCAGCTCCAGGTATGCTAGCCTGTGGGTGGTACTGCTTCTCTGTGGAGAGGCACATCTCACGGTGACTCTTCCTGAGCCACCAGGGCTTCCTTCCATTATTCTTAATGTTTTGCAGAGAACCTTTTATTTCATGATCCAGTGGAAGTCCATGGTGAGAAAGAAACTACAAAAATACTCTAAGGAGCAAAGTCGAGGTGCTATGACAAGGGGGCACATGGTGGCTGCCAAGATGTGCCGGGAACTTGAAATGTGCCAATATGCTTGTCAACGTCATTATTGGTAACTTTTCATCTTCACAAAAATTTATCTACAATAGTAATTTCTAGTGATCTGGCAGCCATTTTTTATGTTTTGAGAGAGAAAAACATGTCCTGAAACCAAACCCCCAACACCCCAAACCTAAACAATGTAAAAAAAACATGGGTGCAAGCAACTCAAATATAAAGAGGGTAGAAAGATCACTCTACATGTTTTTCTGACAAGTATGTTTTGCGTGTTGTCTGCTGTTTCCAAATATTTTGGGGGTATCATATTGCACTATTTGAATTGCAAGGCCAAATTAAATAAGGAGGAAGTGCTGTACTTTCTGAGGTTTTCTAAATCACTTCTCTCCTTAAATAAACATGTATGTACCACTCATCGTGGTGTAAACCCAGAGAGAGGCATTCTAGACCCTGAAAACCGTTCCTCTTTAACTTTCATGCTTACAAGGACCAACAACTCCCTCAGGTTTTCCTTAATACTTGCACCCTTTCCTGCCTGTCAACAGTTTTCAGACATATATTTTCTCCTGAAAGAATTCAAAGGGTGGTTTTTACTTGTGGTCTCTCTGGAATTTTTTCAGAGGTGGTGAGCACTTAAAAAATTTACACATAATCTATAGCAAATCAATATATCAGGCAATGCGTTCATTGCTACTGAGGGAAAAAACTAAGGTAACAGCTTAAATTAATCATAAATATAACTATTACGTCATACACGTATTGCACATGCACCCAATGTGTCTACCTAAACACATTGGAAAACTGTTTCTGAGACCTTGGTAGCCAAAGTTGTGTCTTGTGCCCATCCCTAGTGATTGAGTCAGACACAGAACATTAGCCAAAAATTGGCATGAATGTTGCTCATACCAAGATTTTTCAAAAGAATAATTTAACCTGTGGAGAAATGAAAAATAAGTGCAACTTTTAAAGCCGAACTGCTTCAAAATTCCTTAGGCCCACAAGAAAAAGACAAAAGAAAAAAGGAAAAAGTTTCCTTTTTTTCCTTCTCACTGTTAAACAAATGGTAGTTTTATCATTTGTTTTGTGGTCACTGAAATGAAAGTTTGGGTTTTTAAACAACTCAGGGATTGCAGCAACTTGATCTGAACTTTTTTTAATGATGCAATGAATTCTAGTATGTGAGCTCTGTAAAGTTTTTCTAATGAATGTCTATTTTTCTGTGGAGTGGCAGAGAACTTACTTAAATGAATCAGGAAATCTCAGCTTGCTGCTATTAAATAAAATCTGCTTTAATGAATAGTGAGCTATCTGTCTGTTTCCAGTGAGTAAACAATAAAAGCATCTTTCTGTATTAACATAATTGTTTCTCCTGTTAAAAATAGCACATTTTTAAAAATAGAAAATACCAAGAAAATAAGCCTTCTTTCTCATAATCATCTAGATCTTTTAGGTTGCAATTAGATGATACAGATCACTTGAGTCCTGATAGTTTCCAAAATTACATTTTTTCTTGGAATCAGAAGGTGAAAGAGCTAATATTAATGAGTTTGTCTGCACATACATGAAAAATCTCCAACTGTCACAGCAAGCAATAATTGGCAGAAAGATGCTTTGATAGAGGCAGGAAGATATCCCTGCTGGTTCAAGACAGGTGGACATCAACTTGAATCCAATTTACATCTTAAAGTGCACAATAGAAAAGATTTACATTACATTGGCTAGATGAAAGTGAGCTCTTAGACTGAGCTCCTCATTTACTTTCCCTGCTTTCATTTCTTTTCTTGCCAAGCACTCAAACTATCTAGCTAAGTTTTAATGAAGATACCTTGTTCTGCTGCTCTTTGAGGCAGCTATTTACTTGGCTGAGACTCAAATCTGAGCTCATACTGGGCTGAAAAAGAATACCCAAACTGATAATTGGACAGACCTGAAATTGAATAGCCTTCTTTACCCACAGCTTGAATCAAGTGAATGTGTCTTCAAGTTATGTTCATTTGGTTTCCTGGCCAAGGTCCCTTGCAGCTCTTACTGGGGCTTGACAGGAGGCCTGCAGTGGAACATGCCTGTTCTGAAAAGCACACAAGGGCTCCTGATGGGCATTTTTGGACTATCTAAGTGACCTTGACTACGTGTTTAAATCATCAACCCATATTTAAACTGTTAATTCAAACTTCTACTGCATCTTAAAATGTTCTGAGTCCAACACTGTATTGAATGAGGGAAAAGCAGGCTTATTCCTGTTCCAGAATGGACACTGAAGAAAAGCATATGGAGAGTCTGAATTTTTATTCCCCTGTTGTTCCTTCACCTGTGTTTGGTGAAGCCTAGGAATGTTTTGTGTGTATGTTTTCATGTACAAATTCCTATCTTCCAATCAGCAGTGTGAAGTCTGTGAAGCCTATTCCAAATGTCAGTGTTAGTCTAACTTCAGGTACATTATTTGTTAACAAATCAAGTTAGCTATTTGTTAAATATTTGATTCTGAGTTGGCATTCCTTTTTTAAGTAACCCTTCCTTTACTGATAAGATTCTCAGTCTCTTTAAAAACACAAAGCAGTAGATCAGCAAAGTAAATACAACCCATTTTTTTCTAATGTAACTTCCTTTCTTACATGATGCATGCAATTTCCTATTTTCAAAAGGTCCTTGAAGCATGGCTATGTATGATACCAGAAAATGATCTACTAATGTGCCTTACTGCATGTTGTTTACTTCAGAATTTTAGGGAGCTTTTATGTAACTTCAGCATGCATGTAAAGTTGAGAGTTGAAATGAATGGAGCTACCAAGTACTTAGTGTGAAATATTAGGCCACTTAGATGTCTGAGTACAGGCTATATTTGAAAATCTTTCAACATCCTTTGTTTCTCAGGTGAAAATATCTTCAACAAAAAAAGCTGACAAATATATTCTGGTTCACATGCTTGTGTATTGGTGCAGCCTAAGATTTATTCTGTGATTTCTTCTCTTTAAACATTGAAAAAGACTTTCAGAGATTCACATCAGGCAACTGAGTAAGGATACCTAGAAAGGCTGATAGAAAGGCCCATCTCTATGCAGCCTATCCACATGAATTTCCCTTCAGTGAAAACTGGAGTTTGAAGGCAAAGGTGGGTAGCACATTTTTAAAGTTGTCTTAATGAAGACATTGGTGGAAAACATTCCTGAAGAGCATGATCTCAGTGTGAGTTTGGCCTCTGCCCAAAAAGTGAAGAATGATGCAGTCGCTGAAACTGGATATAGGTACCTAATATATGCATTATCCCACATAGTCCATGGACAGCTCCTTTTCCAAGTGCTGAGGAAAAGGACCTGGCTGGAAGAAGCTGCCTCTTTTCTAAGACCACAGAGTTTATTCTTGTATTTCCTGCAGCAGACATGCTGTGAGGCACAGCTGAAAGTCACTGCCCTCCTAACAGATATTTTACCTCTGAAAAGTATCTCATGACTTTTTATCCAGAAAAGACACAAATTGAAGGCACTTTCTGATACCTTTGCTGTATCTCTGGATGATAGTATGTTGACGGGTGCAACACTCCCTGCTCTGGAATATAATCCCTATTTTTTTGGAGTATGAAATAAAAAAGGCAAAAAAAAAAAAGAAAAGCTGACTGCTGTCATTTCTGATGTTACAAGGTTACAGGCTACAACCTTGGGGGATTTTACACTATATTTGATTTTTATTGTTTCACAAAATAAGACCTGTTTTCTGACAGTCAATAAAACCGCAGGTGATACTCCTTTTATAATAGATGTGAATAGACTATTACTGTTTGCTATAGCAGTTTAACTGCAGGGCAAGCTTATAAGGGTGTTTGTTGGAAAAAACATACAATCTCTTTTTAGCCACAGGACTATTTCTTTATTTTCATAGAGTTCCCTGGTAATAGTGATATATACTTATCTGAGCAGGTCTGAAATAAGCAGAAAGTTCTCTGCTTCTGAAGTTCTAAACAAACTGAAAATTGAAAAACGGTATTGATGGGCTAAAACAAGAGTAGTTGCAACACAGTATAAATAGGTAATCCTGAGTTTTAAAATAGTTTATCAAAGCAAATATTTATGAGTATTATGTAAGTAAGAGCAATGTGGAAGTCACCTTCATCTCTTTGTGCTTTACATCACATGAAAATTTCCTAGTTCTGAAAATCAGTATTCAGTGTTTATCTTTTGAGTCACAGAATCACTGAGGTTGGAAGAGACTTTGGGTATGGTCTAGTCCAACGTTTTTGCTCAAAGCAGGATTAACTAAAGGTATTTACTAAGGGCTTTGCCTGGGTTTTGGGTTTTGAATATCTCCAAGGATGAAGACTTCACAACCTTTCTGACTAAGGTGTGCCAACGCTCCAAAACCCTCATGGTGAAAAAGCTTTTTGTTATGTCTAAAAGGAATTTTCTGTATGTATTTATGGCCATTGTCCTGTCACTGGGCACACCCAAGAAGAGTCTGAATTCCTCTTCTTCATTCCCTCCCATCACATATATATATATACACGCACACACACTTT